GAGAGACAGGGAGAGATGGAGACGAAAGGGAAGGGGCAAGAGACATAGAAGGTCTCGGAGTACTCTTAAGGTGCTCTGCTGGGAGACTGGGGAGATGGAAGTAAAGGCCGGGACACAGAGAGATGCAGAGTGTGCTCGAGAGAGAGAGACTGAAGAGAGTTAAGAATCTGAGCGGTGGAGAGAGAAAAACTTGAGAGAGGCAGAAAAAGATGGAGACACAGGGAGAGATGGAGTTTCAAAAGGACAGGGAAAGGTGGAGAGAGAGATAGTGAGAGGCCAGAAGAAGGTGTCTGAGCCTGGGGAAAGGACACAAAGTGGTGGGATCTTCAGAGAGGTCCCGAAGAGAGAGAAAAGAGTGAGAGACAGGCCCTCAGGGGGACGCAGAGACAGCAGAAGAGGAGGGCAGAAAGCCCGAGATTAATAGAGGAAAGAATCATCAGGGACAAAGAGACCCAGGGCTGGAGACACACAGCATTCGCTAGTGAGCAGGAAGGGGGTTGGCAGGTAAGAATGTGGAGGAGGGACTCAAAGGGACTGGAATCCTGTGGGGGTGCAAAGGCCCTGCAGCGGCAGGAAAGAGCTCAGGAAGTTTTGAGAAGCTGACAGGAGGTGGGATTGGCATCAGGAAGTGAGGAGCCTGGGAACAGAGGGGACTGAGGCAGAATTGGGGAGGGGTGGATGGCGCAGGAACTTATGAGACTGGGGAGCAGGGCTGGAGTGTGGATCTGCCCTGGTTCCCGTGCGCATCTCCTTCTTGGAGGCCTTGCCTTCTCCCAACTCATTTCTCTGGGGCTGGCTGGTCCTACAGAGCAATAATGGTAGAGCTGACACCACCACCTTGAACTTCTAAACAGCTGGAATTCTGGTCCCACCACTAGATGCTGCAGTACCTTGGGCAAGTGGCCTTCTGAACAAGGGGAACTTGGGTAGCAAAGGCTCTGAGTTACTGACAACAGTAACACCCTATTGATTGGGGGCGTCCTGTGTGCCAGGCCCCCTGCTGGGGCCTTACCTCAAATAACCTGCTCAGCAACCCTCAGAAGCAGAGATGATGGTTTCCCTCCCCATTCACAGAGGGAAACTGAGGCTCAGAGAAGATGCAGGGCTTGCCAAGGGCATGCAGCAGGTGGCAGGGCCAGGCTCTGGTCAGGTTCTGTCCATTCTGATCATTAAGGGGAAACAGATGGTCTCCAAGGGGCCCGAGAGCCAACAGCCAGTGAGTCGGGCATTGCTGAGGGTGATGGGAGCCTGATGTCCCCGCAGTGTCCTCAGCCTGGGGGGGCTGTGTGGAGGTGGACTCGGAGACCGAGGCCGTGTACGGGATGACCTTCAAAATTCTGTGCATCTCCTGCAAGCGCCGCAGCGAGACCAACGCCGAGACCTTCACAGAGTGGACCTTCCGCCAGAAGGGCACTGAGGATTTTGTCAAGGTGCGTGGTCGCCTGGCACGGCGCGATGGGTGGGTGTCTGTGTGCGAGTGGGGAGGGGCAGGGTTCCAGTGGGGACTGGTTGGTTGTTTTCAGTAATGTGCTATTACTGATGACCTGGATCCAGATTCCAGCTCCACCACTGACTGGCTGGTGACCTTGGGCAAGTCATTAAGCCTCTCTGAACCTCAGTTTCCTCCTCTGTAAAGATAGGGTGGAGGTGGTCTCTAACTTCAAGGCTTGTGTGAGGATTGATTGAGTTGCTGCTCTTGGCACGTGCTTGGCACAAAATAAATGTCACTGGAATTATTCACTACCAGCAAAAATGTCTCAGAGAGTCATCACAGAAGGCAACAGAACTTTTGTGACCTCCTTTTCGCTACGTGTATTTTGAATTACGTATGAAGGGGCACCACGCACTTTAGATCTGCTGGAGAGCTGGGGTCTACAGCGGTCGGAATCAGGCCTTCTTTCTCCCTGGCTGAGGAGTGTGTCTGGGGGCAGAGGAAGAATTGTGGAGAATGAAGGCCAGGAAGGCCGGACTGGGGCCTGGGAGGATGACTGAGGCACACGTGCGTGAGCATGTGTGTCAGGGCTTGGGCACAATCAGGGTCTGGGGTAGGCCCAGTCGTGAACCTTGACCCCTGTCCCCTCCGTGCCTGAGCCCATGCTCGTGTCTGTCTGTGTGTGTCGTGGGGAGGGACCGAATAGAGGGCCCGGTGTGGGAGGTGCCCGGCCGTGACTCCGCCCCCCGCCGCCCCCAGATCCTGCGCTACGAGAACGAGGTGCTGCAGCTGGAGGAGGACGAGCGCTTTGAGGGCCGGGTGGTGTGGAACGGCAGCCGGGGCACCAAGGACCTGCAGGACCTGTCCATCTTCATCACCAATGTCACCTACAACCACTCGGGCGACTACGAGTGCCACGTCTACCGCCTGCTCTTCTTCGAGAATTATGAGCACAACACCAGCGTCGTCAAGAAGATCCACCTTGAGGTGGTGGACAAAGGTGAGTCCAGCCCACCGGCAGCCAGATGGAGGGACAGATGGCGGGGAGGGGACGGGCTGGCTCCGCGCCTGGGCCAGCCAACCACCCACGGCTGCAGGGGCAGCAGCACCTCCTTTCTGTTTCCTGGACTCCAACTCTGGGCTCCTCCGTTTCCCTTCAGCCACGGAGAGGTCACAGCAGGCCACTCCCGGAAGTGCCGGGTGCAGAACTCAACTCTGCCACCTGTGCTGTGTGACCTCCGGCAGGTGTCTCCCTGTCTCTGAGCTGAAGGTTTGTTCTGTATGGACACAGGATGGTCATATTATCTCCCTCTCCTGGTGGTGTTGGTGAGGACTGAGGGACAACTGGGTGTCAGCTGCTGGCCTGCCGGTCACAGTGGGATCTCAGCACATGGGGGCGTTGGTGGTGGTGCTTCTGATTGTCGCTTAGCCTCGACCCTGCCTCCCTCTGTCATATGGGGTGAGAGACAGGAGTGTGTCACCTGAAGCTTCATTTACAACAAGCTCTCAGGTGAGGCCAAAGCTGCAGGTCTAGGGCCACAATGAGCAGCAAAGATCTAAGGTGTTTTTGAACCATTTCATTTTGGTTTCAGCTGCCTTGAACCCTTTCCCTGAACCATCTTCTGATGGGTGTAAATTGGAAAATTTCCAGGGCCCTCTGGCCCGTTAGCTTTGAGAGTCAGGGAGATACCTTGTGCTACCAAAGAGCCTGGCAAGTGGGTCCTGTGGGGCCCACAAGGCACACACATCATCACGGGCATTGTGCATTGTCCCCAGTTCCCTGAGACAGGTGCTGCCCTCAGCACCTTATGTGGAGCCCCTCACTGAAGCCTCCCACCCACCCTCTGGGAGCAGAAGCTCTTCCTGTCCCCGTTTTACAGATAGGGAAACCAAGGCTTAGGGAGGTAGGATCACACGGCCAAGGTCACAGAGCTGGGACCTGGATTTCAACCCAACTGAGCCTGTGTGACTTTTGTTCCTGTTCTTGGCATGATTCACTATACTCTGCTGTCAGCCAGAGCCTGTGGGTTTCTTTTGATAATTAGCATTTTTACGTTTATTATCAAAGTGATCCAGCAGAATTCAATTCAGGAGACATATCTGAGCGACTTGGTGTAGGTCATGATGCTGGGTGGGCGGCCGCCCACAGAGAGAGAAGATGGAGCCCCGCCTGCATGAGTGGGGGGAAAGTAGAGTGGTTGTAACAAAAATGCTCCCAAATACTGTGGCTTAACCGAATCTGTGCCAGTGCTGTCTCCCAAGTCTGTGTTGAGTTGAAGGGTCAGGAGGCAGGGAGGCTCTGTGATGCCCTTCAGGCTCCCAGGTTCTTTCCACATTGTGGCTCGGCCCTTGCTCAGGATACCGTCTCATCTGCTCATAGGCTCAGTCATGCCCGTGACCCAGTAGAGCCTCCCTTTGTTAACATTGTGTACCACATTCTACTACCTGCCAGAGCCTGCGTTCTCATATCTATATTATATTATATGTAATATCGAGCTCTTTCTGTTACCTCCCAGAGTCTGTGTGTTTAGCATCATCTACCATACTTCTGTTTTTTATCCACCATAGTATTGCTTTTTTTTAAACCCCACCCAGGGCAGTGTAGTATTTTATATTATACTATATGCTGTACTGTTTTCACATACATACAACAGTGTGTTTGCGGAGAGGGTGGTAATTATGTTTATTTATTTTTAGAGGAGGCACTGGGGATTGAACCTGGGACCTCATGCACCCTAAGCATGTGCTCTACCTCTGAGCTATGCCGTCCCACTTCATACAGCAGTATTTTTGATCATAACCATCATACCAGAGTCTTTTTAGTGTTATCAGCCATACTATCATATTTTTATCATTACCTACTGTGCTAGAGAATTCTAAAATACTATCAATCAGATTGTAGTATTTAAAATTTTTGCTTGGTTTACTATACTATACTCAGCATCACCCATCATACTGTAATATTTTTAACGTTATGTATCACTCTACACTATTCCTTTCATTCCCCATGATATTATTGTATTGTTAGCCTTGCTGGCTGTGCTGTATTTTTTTTTTATTATAATCCAGTGTCTCACTGCAGTTTCAAATGTTCCCAGTCAGTCTGTATTGCCTCCTGGTAATAACCCCTTAGCAATGAACTGAGTCATTTCCAAAGGAGGGGCAGTGGGTGCAGGTGGTGGGGCCTTCGCTGACCTGGCAGAGTTGCCGAAGATGGCAGGAAGCACCTGAGGGTCCCCCACCGGGAGCGGGGCCAGCAGTGGGGGACAGGAGGGCTAAATCTATTTAGATGCGCCCAGTACAAGGGGAGAATGTGTGGAGGTGAAGCAGTTTCTGAGGTCGGTGAGGCCTCCTGCCTGCAGAGGTGCAGGTTGGGGCTTCAGATCTGCGGGCTGCCTGTGTGGGCAGGCAGGTGAAGCCCTCAGAAGATTTGGGGTTTTGAAGAAATCAAAGGTCTCCCCAGAGAAGGTGCCTCTGCTCCTCCGTGTCGCCCCTCTGCCTCAGTTCCTCATCTGGGCAGTGGGAGATTGACAGTCCCACCTCCTGAGATGTCCGGTGGGTTAATGGAGACTGCGCCCCACATGCCACAGCTGTTCCCAAGTCTCTCTTAGGCTCTGGGAGCTTCCCAGAGGAGATGAGAACTCGGACTCTGCGGTCAGTTACACTTGGGGTTGAATCTTGGCTTTGAGAGCAATCCTGGCTGTGCATCCTTGTCCAGCACCTTCCCCTCTCTGGGCCTCAGTGTCTTTGTCTGGAAAGTGGGCTGCAGAGCCGTGCCTGTCACTGTCCTCATCTGATTGGGAGAGCAGGAGATACCATATTACCTGAATCCCTTTGGGCATTGAGTTCTGGGAGGAGTGAGAATTCCAGTTTTTGACTTTTATCCAACATGTATCCAACTCGGTGTGATTCTGGAAGTCAGCTGACATGGGAAGCCTGGACTGTCTCTCTCCTTGGGGTTGTTTCAAAGAGTCCAGGAGATGCTCAGATAAAGAACTCAGCACAGAGCCTGGCTGAGAGCAGGCACTCACTGCATGAGACAAATTCATGGTATCTTTTGAGTGAAAGAACGAATGAACAAAAAGATGAAGTGTGGAACCCTGTTCCCGGCTCTTCCTCTGGGAAGCAGGGGAGAAACTTCCGGCCCTGCACCCACCTCACGGTGGCCCAGAAAGCACTGGTGCCATCTGCCCCAGGTGGAGAGGCAGAAAGTGCCCGCTCCCAGGGGAGGAAGACCACGTGAGAACCCAGGAAAATGAGATCCTGGCCGCCAGAAGGAGGGGGCCAGGGAAGTGGAGGGGACACCTGCGAAATCCGGCCGAGGATGCCACAGTGGCCTTCCGCTCTGGTCCCCTGGCTGAGCATGCTCCCTTAGTTTAAATTTAGGCTCAATGAAAGGAAGTTGACATTGGCAAGAGCAAGTGCTGCGGAAAGGATAGAGGGTTTCCGGAAACCACCAGCAAATAACCAACACTTAGGCACTGTTGATGGCAAGCACGTCCAAGGATGCCGTTTACAGATGATAACGCATTTCCTCCTCCCAGCAACTCCATGAGAAGACATGAGCATTATCATCCTTATTTTCAGGGGGGGAATAGAGGCCCAGAGAGGTGGAGTCATTTGCCTAAGGTCACACAGCTAATAAGAGGCAGAGACAGGATTTGAACCTTGACAGCCTGGCCCCAGAGCCCCTGCTCTTAACTACTATGCTGTACTGCCCCAATAATAACAGAAATAATTGTAACAGTAGTAAGCATTGGTCGCTTGCTATCTACATGTCAAGCACTATTCTAAGGATTGTTAAAGCTTATATAATTCTCGTACCACTCCCACGAAGGAGATACTGTGATTATCAACTTTTTACAGATGGGGAAACTGAGACCCAAAGAGGTTGAATCACTTGCCCAAGGTCACACAGCTGGCAAGTGGCAGAGCCAGGATTTGAATCTGAGCCTTCTGGTTACAGAGCTGCAGCTCTTAGGCACCTACAGCCACCTAATGACACGGAGGTACCCTCAAGTTACACAGGGAGGCAGGTTGAGGGTGACCCCAAAGCCCGTCCAAGGCTGAGAACCACAGTAACAACAGTGACTGTAGCGAAGCAGCATGGCCCCGTTTGCAGACCAGGCCCAGGGAGGTCAAGCCCCTTGCCCAGGCCCACTCAGCAAACTCGAGGCACACTCAGGCTGCCACCTGACCCCGCCTGGCCCCTGCAGCCAACAGAGACATGGCGTCCATCGTGTCTGAGATCATGATGTACGTGCTCATCGTGGTGTTGACCATATGGCTCGTGGCAGAGATGATTTACTGCTACAAGAAGATCGCTGCTGCCACGGAGGCTGCTGCACAAGAAAATGCGTAAGTGGGGTCGGCGAGGAGGGGGAGAGGCGGCCCAGGACCCCCAGCACTTCCCAGGGGCAGCATGAGCTGAGTAGGGAGGCGAGCAGGGGAGCAACCCAGGGCGCCGTCTGCCAGTCTTCCCTAGAGGGGAGCATTTGGTGTCAGAGGTGGGACAAGGTCGTGGTCAGTTCCCAGCCCCTCCTCCCTCGGACCCTCAGCCCCTACTTCTGTCAGGACCCAGGGCTCAGTCCTAGTATCCTCTGCCCCAGAGATGCAGGAGTCCAGGCCCCAGCCCTTTCTTTCCTCAGGACCCAGGAGTCCGAGCCTCCCACTCCCCTCCCCAGTCTTGTCCTTCCTCACTCTCGACTTCAGGTCCCCAGCCTGGGCTTCTTTCAGATCCCTCGGGTCCAGCCTGCAGCCCCCTCCTCTCTCTGACTCTGGATCCCTGTACGCCTGGGACAGAGACCTCAACCCTCAGTCTCCTGGGGGTGGGCCAGCCTGGTGATGGGTTGCTGTACACATGGTCTTTGCCCCCACAGCTCGGAATACCTGGCCATCACCTCAGAAAGCAAGGAGAACTGTACGGGCGTCCAGGTGGCTGAATAGCCCCGGTAAGTTGGGTGGGTGGACAGGGGCTGGAGGGTCCGGGAGGTGTCAGCCGTTAGGTCCCTGATCCTGTGTCTCCCTCACCTTTAGGCCCTGGGCTCCACCTCAAGGAAGAGCCAGCCCTAATGGGGAACATCCGGGCACAGCCTTCCCCACAATGGGGGTTGGCCATTCCTGGGCCTCCGCAAGCCTCAGAGACCTGCCAATGGAGCCTCCAGGGTGGGAGGGGCAGGGGGCTTGGCTCACACCCCTAATCCAGCCTCTTCCTCCTGCCCCATCACCCACCCGCGCCATGCATGATGGGTCAAGCAATACTGCCGCTGCCCCCACCCCTGCTTCTGCTGCCTGTTTGGGAGGAGGGGGCGGTGAGGTGGGGGCAGCGGCTCCGCACCCCTCCTTCTTGCTGATTTGCACACGTTGGCCGCTTCGGACACGCACTGCTGGGGGCCCAGCCCCTCCCCGCCCCCTCCCTGCCCAGCGGGGGTTGTGATGGGCTGGAACAGTTTGGGGCAGGGGCTTCTGGGACCCACTCTGACCCCCAGCGACATGTCCCTTCCTGCTTCCTCTGGCTGGACCTGGGGTCTCCTCTCCCTGTGATGCACTCTTGCCCCAGCCCAACCCGCCCTCTCTCACCAGCCTTGGATTGTGGCCACTTAGAAAGGGGCCCATTCAGCCTCGTCTCTCTTTACACAAGTAGTTTTGTTCATGAAATAAAGATTCTTGGACTTGATTCATAGTCTCTCTTGTGAGCCCATCACCTTCTACACCCCCTTCAAATCCAAGAGCTTCCGTTTTCCCAGGCGGGGCAGCATCTGAGGCCCAGCGCCGACCTGCCGGCCCAGTGGGTGCAGTCACTTAACTACCTGATTAATGTTGGGGTTGGGGGAGTCATTAGCTCAGTGGGGACCAAGAGTTTCAAGGGAACCAGACGGAAGCCAAGGAGGCGGACCAGTGGATTAGGGAAAGGGAGAGGGAAGGAGAAAGGGCTGTGAACAGAGAGACAGAGAGAGGCAGGCTGGCAGCGCCAAGGCTACACCAGCGTGTCTCCCTGGGGGACGCTGTGGCTCTGAGTGGATGGGGTGCGTGAGGCGAGCGGGTGGGTCCAGCTGTGCAGGGCCGGCCTATCTGGGGTGAGCAGCGGTGGTCTGATTGTGTTTAGGTGCATGGCTGTCCACAGGCAGGTGTCTGCTGGTGACCCTTGTGTGTCTGGGTGTTTATCTGGCCCCAGGGTCTGACGTGGATGACTCTTGGCTGCTGGCGGGACAGTGTGTATCTGCCTCTGGACACTTCCGGCCACTTGGCCTGGGCCTCAGCCCTCAGTGCTGCCTTTTCCAGGCCAAGTCCCCATCCCCCCCGTCTCGGACTTCCCAGCTCCAGAGGTCACTGCTGCAGGCAGCAGAGAGGCTGCCAAAGCAAACCAGCCCCCGTGACTTGTAGGAAAGCAGCTGGGGGGAGGGGGCTGGGGGGAGGAGGAGCAGGGGCTGGGGCAGGCTTGGGACCGGGGGCTGGGCTGGGGACATGGGAAGAGGCGGAGGCTGGAGCAGGAGTTGGGGTGCTGGAAGAGTCTGGGGCAAAGCCTGGAACTGGGACTGTCTTGTTGTCCACCTGTGCTGGACAAGGGGTGCAGGGGCAGTGGGGGGGGTCTGGAGCTGGGCAGGGGGTGTTGGAAGGGTCCAGGACATGGACAGGGACAGGTTAGGCTGACTGGGGCAGGGCGGGGGCGGGGCAGGAGGCAGGAGAAGCGGTTGGGTGGGCTAGGGCAGCCAGGCCCCTCCGTGGGATTTCCTCCAATTCGTACCTCCTTCCTTCGGTCCTTATAAGCAACCCCAGTCTGCCCTGTCTGCCCAAACTCCCAGCCCTCAGGCCGAGCCTGTCCATGCTCCCACCTCCCCTCAGACTGGCACACCTGGGCCCCCTCCAGGCCAGAGGCCGGTTGCTGGGCCGGCCTGGTCCAGCCCCTGCAAACCCTGCCCCACCAGCCAGGTGGCCTCCAGCGCTGCCAATCCCTTTGCCCTGCCCCTCCCCGCCCCTTCCCCGCCTCTTGCCCAGCCCCCTCCTCCTCAGGTGAGGCAGCCAGGCCTAGCAGGCCCCACGCCGCTGCTGCCGCTGCCTCTGCCTCCTCCGGGGCCACCGCTGCGCGGGGCCACCATGCTTCTGCCCAGGCCTGGAGACTGACCCTAAACCGGCACCATCTCTCAGCTCCGTCCCCACCTGCTGGACCCCAGGGTAAGAACCAGGGTCCTCAGTTTCAGTCCCCAGGACACGGGTCCCCTCACCTGCACCCAACCTCATACCCACCTCCCAGTAGAGTAGCTCCCAGGGCCCCCAAGAGTGGGCTGTCTGTCTGACTTCTCCCCAAGGACCTTGGAGTTGTAGCCCCACTTCTTCAGACTCCAAGATCAGGCCCCAGTCTCCTCCCTCAGACCCAGAAGTCCAGGCCCCCATGCCCCTCCTCCCTCATAGAAAGGGTGCTGGCCCCCATCCCTCTCTTCCCAGGACTCAGGAGGTGAGGCCCCCAGCTGTCCTCCCTCAGACCCAGGAGCTCAGACCCTCATTCCCCTCCTCACCCAGGCCCAGACATGGGGTCCCTCAACCCTGCAAATCCAGGCGCCCCCGCTGGCTACTGGTCAGACACTGACCCCATCCTTGAACCCAGCCCAATCTGTGTCCGTGATCACTGCGTGCTCTGGCTGGGGCCCAGTCCCTCCTGCCTCCCTGGATGGGCGCCTGGGACTTGGGGGCACTGAGGCTGGGCTGGGCTCCCCCAGGCCCTGCCTCCCTGCTCATCTCCCCACAGGTCCCACCCCGGCCCAGGAGGTCAGCCGGGGAATCATTAACTAGAGGCCGTGACATGGCGGAGAAGGAGGGTGAGTCCCCTTTCCCTGACTTGGGCTCTACCTGGCGCCCCTCCCTCTGTGCTCTCTTCCATCCGCCCCCTCAGAGCCCCCTGTTTCTGGTACCCCTCCTGGGCCCATCCCCACCCACTTCTGAAGCCTCCTCCACCCGATTAACTATTAACCAAGTTTTCTGTGGGGCTGTGCCGTCCCCTGCCTCCCTGCCAGCGCATATGACCTTCCTGGCTCCTTGCCTCAGTTTCCCCTCATTCCCCAGCGATTTCTCAGCTAACCTTGGACCTGGCCTCCACTTGGGGCCAAGGCGAGCAGACTAGCTATCACCATTAAGGACACAGACTCTGGAGTCGAGTACGCAGGCCTGCGTTCGAATCTGCTTCTGCCACTTTTTTTTACTGTGCAATCTTGTGAAAGTCTGTTGTTTCTCTGGGCTTCAGTTTCCCGCTGGGTCAGGCATGGATCCTAATGCTGTCGCTTACCTACGCGAGGTTGTTGGGAGCATGGAACACACGTGAGGCACCAGTGTGGGGCTCAGCGTGTAAGACACATCATGCCATGTGCCAGAGCTGTCACGACAGAGGTCGGCTTGGAGTCCCACGGACCCAAAAGCCCCACCAATTCCTGACATTCTTCACACTGTGGGTGGATGAGCAGAGGGAGGACTTTGGACTTGACCTGGATGGATGGAGAGAAGAGAGACAACAGAGAAACCACTCCCCGGTGTGGCAGGCACTTGAGGGCTCGTGGAAGCCCCTGGGTCGGGCTCCAGACAGCCTAGCTCTCTCTCAGCCTCCTCCACGCTTGGGAGCCACCTGGAGGGGCCTGGTTAAGGGTGGCCTTTCCTTCCCACCCTCCCCAGCTGAGGCTGACTCCCTCTTCTTCCTGGAACCAGGCTAGCTGGGTTCGGTCCCAGACAGTAGCACTTTCTAGCTGTGTGGCCCTGGGCAAGCAGCTCACTCTCTGTGGGCCTCGTTTCTTCCTCTGAAAAACAGAGACAGGGCTAACAGCGCACAGCTCGCAGGGTGGTGTGAGGATTTAAATGCCATGATTAGGAGGAAGCACGGAGTGTGTTGGCGGACACGATCAGTATGGATATCTGGCCTCCTGGAGTCTCAGCATAGTTGGCAAATCAGACCCCAAACCATTCAGCTGTGGCCCAGAGTAACCGGTCTCCCAGGGGCTCAGGAGAAGGCCCTGCGCTCTTGCTGAGCAGATGGGCCGCAGAGCCCTGCACCTTGGCGATGATTCCTCCCCGGAGCCAACTGAAGGGAGTCACCAGGCCTGGGGCCTACAGGTGAATGAAAGAAAAGCAGAGAGTGCCCAGAAGGGTGACCAGAGCCTGGCCTGGGGACAGAGAGAACCGAGGTGCACTGGGCTCCAGCGCACCCCCAGGCAGCCCGGGCCGGGTCTTGGGGGGGAGTCCTGCAGTCGTGTCAGACCTGGACACGAAGGCTGAAAGGTTCTGGTGCTGCGCTTACTTGCTGGGTGACCCGGGGTAGGTGGCTGCACCTCTCTGGGCCCCCTTGCCTCGTCTGTAAACCAGGGATGGTGATTATGATACTGTCCTCGTTAACAGTTCAAGGATTTCAGGAAACTGCAGGACGGGGTTTGGACAGGGCTAGGGTTGGCGTCGTGGCTACAGTTGTGCTAATGTTTGTGTCACCATTCTGCTGTTGAAGTACATACGCCCAAGGCCAGGTTCTTGTTGCTCCCTAGGGACTCAGACTCAGGAGAGGTGATATCCGAGTTGACACGCGGGATGAGGAGGGAGTAGGTAGGTACGTCCGGCTGAGGGAGGAGCAAGGCTGACAGCTGGGGGTGACAGACTGCTAGGTGTGCAGTGCAGTGCAATGGCCCGTAGATAATTCAGTATTTCTGGAGGTAAAGTTGGAAAAGGAGCCGGGAGGGTGATGAAGTGTGCAAACTGGACCAAGGAAGGTCTGGACCAAGGTAAGAAGCAGGCTGATGCCTGGGCGGTGCTGGGTCTCTCCACAAGATGGCGCTGGTGGTTATCCTGTATTTTACAAGTCCTGTGGTTTTGGTTGCTTTCGGGAAGCTCTGTCAGTTGTTTGATAAGGATCCCTATGGCTGTCTGGGAATTTGAGGGAAAATGTTCAACCCCCCAAATCTCTAATAGCCATGTTTATATCATACAGGGATTGGTACCATGGTCCTGGGGGTCTTAGCCTCTGTCCTGGGGGGCACTGGGGAGTCATGGAGGGTCCTAGGTAAAGAAGGGACAGGTTGGATTTGGTGTTTAGGAAGAGTCCCTAGGCTTCCGTGTGGAGGCTGGACCAGGAGAGAATGAACCCAGGGGTTGATGGGGCAGGGGGGAGGGAAGGAGAGAGCTGAAAGGGGACACTCCGAAGGCCTGTAACTGTGGGCAGAGTGAGGCGTCCTACAGACGAGGGACTGTCTTGAGGATAAGGGCCTCTGAGACGGGACCTGGGGGTTTGGGGGGACACTGAGGCCAGTATGGGACATGGGAGGTGTGAGGGACCTACGGGATTCTAAGAGGCTGCGGGACCCCTGATCTGGGACTAATGAGAGTCCAGGGCTGGGGACAGAAAAGGGAAGCAGGCTGTGGGCGTGGGTAGGACAGACAGGAGCTGGGAGGCATGAGGGTGAGGAGGCCATGGCCACCCTGCGAACCCCAGATTTCAAGGAGTGTGTGGAGGGTCAGGGGATGGAAAAGTAGGAGGTGAATCAGGGTCAGGCAGTGTCCCCGAGGTCAGACGAAGAGAGACTTTCATTCAGGAAGTTGGAGTTGGGTACGTTGAGGAGAGACATGGAGCTGTCAGTTGAGTGGAGTTTTAGAGACAAGGAGCCAAAGACATCACTTGTGAGGGTTTTGTAGCCACGTGGTGGGGGCAGACGAACTGTCCTTTGGGAAGACAAGGGCTGCTTAGTGGCCCCAGAGGAGCAGAGTCAGAGCCTCAGGGAGGTCGGGGGCTTATTCAGCCCTATCCGCCCCCAAAGAATCACGCAAAGATGCTGCCTCTCACACAGGGAGCACCCTTCCTGCCTCAGCAAAGGTACACAGTGAGGACTCCTCTCACCCTGGGGACCCAGAGCAAGATACTTCCTGTCCCACCAGAGGCACCTGTTTGGGGGGTGCCCAAAGTCCCTTGAACCAGAGGGCTTGGAAGCAGGTTCTTCCTCTTACCCTAAGAGACACAGGGTGACAATGCTTCCCACTCCGGCAGAGGAACCAGAGCCTCTAGCCTGGGCTCTGAGTGGCCCAAAGCTCTGGCAGGCGTATCTGAAAACAAAGGAACCAGGACCGGCCTGATGGCTCGAGGAGCGATGACCTCCCACTGGAGTGGGAAGATGGTTGGGGCCTCAGTGGGGACTGAGCCTAAGAGGCCCCCTCAGGGAGACAGCGGAGGGTAAGGGGGTCAGCCAGCAGGGGTGGGACCGGGCTGGCCCCCTGGGGCCTCTGGAGGGAGGAGTGCCCCACGGAAACGGATGAGCTCTCAAATTCTGAAGACACCCAGACAATGGCCATCCCAGGTCCTATGAGGATGGCAGTCCTTCCAGGCACTGGCCTGGCCCTGTGCCCATAGCCGTATTTCCACGACACAGATGGGAGAGCTGGGTGGTCCTACAGCCCAGGCGGGCCTTGCAGATGCTGAGAGAAGTCAGGCACATACCCGGCCTGGCGAAGGCTCTCACCTGCCCTTTCTATTTGGCTGTTCCACAGTCCCTAGCAAACGGGTTGGCTTTTTAGCCTCAGGGCCCCCGTTGCACTTGAGAATCAAATCCCTCTTCCCCTCGGGCTGCCAGGCTTCCCCAGCTGGCCCCAGCCTTGGCCCCACTGCCTTCCCAAAGCTCATGCCACTCTGGCCACATCCATGGCCTCTCTCACCGTCTCACACGTGACATTTATTCTTGCCTCAAGGCCTTTGTCTGCGCTGTCCTCTCTGCCCACTGTGCCCTTCCATGAGAGGTCTTTGCCTGGCTGGCCTCACCCTTCTGGTCTCAGCTTAAAAGTCACTTCTGGGGGGAGGCCCTCACTGAGCACCTGCTGCCCTCAACCTGCATTATTTTCTCCATAGACTCTGCCACCATCTGGAAATGATCAAGTTCATTTCCTTGTTCACTTACTTATGTCTCCCTCTCATGGGAGGGAGACATATGCCCATGAGAATGTGGGTGTCATGAGAACCAGCATCTCATCTGTCTTCTTAGGGGATGAGTCCCCGGAGCCTAGAATGGTGCCAGGGACACACTGGATGCTCAGTAGGATAACAAACGATTAAAGCCACATTTTACTGAGGGGAAAACAGGTCCAGAGAGGTGAAGGGAGTTGCCCAGGGCCACACAACTCTAACGATTTGCAAGCATTTATTGAGAACTTGCTATCTGCCAAGTACTACAGCACAGGGAGGGGTAGCATGGCTTAGTGGTTATACACTTGGGCCCCAGCACCAAATCTACCCACGGTTCAGGATTCAGCACTGCCTCCTCCTGACTGAGTCATTTTAGGCAGGTGACACCACTTCTCTGAGCCTCGGTTTTCCCTTTCTGAAAAATGGGAATCTTCACAGAGATAAGGACTGAGTAAGAATGTGCAGTGCTGGGCACATAAAGCATCTGATAAGAGTTTGGCTATGATTATGTTTAAAAAGAAATTTAAAGTATTATCTTTGAAGGTGAGTGCTAGGTGGACACCCATTAAATAGATGAGGAGGCTGAGGCTCAAAGAGATGATGCCACCCGCCCAAGGTCCCAGATAGGAGTAGGTAAGGCCAATATTTTTAAGTGAGGCTGGAAATTTCCAAATTTAGGTTCTCAGCCTCCAAGGGCAAATTTGACCTTGGAGCTGGGTCCTCTGGGAGAGCTCTGGTTTTGGTGGGTTCCCAGGGACAGGGTCTGGAATAGCAGAGAGAAATGAGGCAGTGAGGAAATGCCAACAGCAGGGAAGAGAGCTGCCAAGAGGGCAAAGGTCAGAGGTCACAGCCCCCAAGAGGCTCCAAGAACCTCTGGGAAATTGAGCAGAAGTTAGAGGTCTAAGAAAAGGCACAATGTGACAAGGGAGAAAAGAAGGGCCACTTCAAGGGAGGAGAAATCCTTTACGTGCCAGGAGAGGAGGCTGGGAAGGTGGCAGCTGTCCCAGCCACGCCCCTTCCCAGCTGGAACCCGTTGGGGGCTAGACACCTACCTGGTTGTCCTCACTGCAGGAGAGGGATGGCCCTGACAACTGCTCAGCCCCAGGAACCGGGCCCAGGACCCGGCAGGCTCAGGCATGCTAAGTTAGCCCTGGGGGGCAGGGCAGAGCTGGTCCCCTGCCCAAATCCTGCTACAGTGAGGACAGACCTGGCGGTGGCCCCAGCACAGTGTCTGTTGCAGGTGGCCGGACTGTGTCGTGCTGCTCTGGACCCAAGGTGGCAGCTCTCACTGTGGGGACCGTGCTGCTCCTGACAGGCATCGGGGCGGCGTCCTGGGCCATTGGTGAGAGTGGCTCCCTGCGCCTCTACCCTCCCCTGCCCCCTGCGGCCCCCAGCCTGCCTGCCCTCACCTCTGCCTTCTCTGCAGTGACCGTTCTACTCAGGAGCGAGCAGGAGCCGCTGTATCCAGGTGAGTAGATTAGGCAGGGACCCTCTGGGGAGCCCCCGCAGAAACCCGTACCTGGTGGGAACCCAATGAAAGGATTTTTGAATGAATGCACGAACGCCTGCGGAAATGCTGCTGGCGCTCATACACTCACATCACTGGGCCTGCCCTGGGCCACATGCTGCCCTGAGCACCTCACTTATCTAACCTAGTGTTTTTCAGACTCTAAATGTGTTGCCCATTAGTGCATCATGAAATTAAATTAGTGAGTTGAATACCATATTTTTAAAAGTCTGATGATGATTAAATTAAAATAGCAGAGTGCATCTCTCTCAGTAAGAAAGAGTTTTGTTCATCTTTCTTTTGGTTTTATGAGAGTGGGACTGTTATTCTCTCCATTTTCCAGAGGGGGAAACTGAGGCTTAAAGCAATGCAATAGTTTGTCCCAGAAAACAGAAGGTCAGGGTGACATCATAACGTAAAATGTCTCTTACTGCAGAGTGTGATCAAAACGTGTTTGAGAGGTGCTAGATGAATTCAGCGAACTTTCCAACTCTCCTTGGAGGTAGCTGCTGTCATTATCCCCATTTACAGATATGGAAAGTGAGGACTAGAGAGGACATGCAGCTGGTGAATGATGGGGCCAGAAATCGCCCTTAGACGTGATTGGTAGAGATTGTCTGCAGGCAGGTGGGAAGGAAAGGCCACATGAATAAATAGATGCAGAAACTGATTGTGGAATGAATGAATGAATCTTCCCCAATGCCACCTCCAACCTGCCATTCAACTGCCCAGGGCAGCAGGAAGAAGGAGGAAGTTGTGTGATGGGATGTATTTTTCACTCCCAGAAGCCTCATCTAGTTCCATTAAAAACTCAGCTCACATTAAGAGAAGAAATGAACAGATCAACAGGGTCCTACTGTTTAGCACAGGGAACTATATTCAATATCTTGTAGTAGCCGACAATGATAAAGAATATGAAAAAGAATGTGTCTATGTATATAACTGAATCAGTACGCTGCACACCAGAAACTAACACAACATTGTAAATCAACTGTACTTCGATTAAAAAAAAGAGAGAAGAAATGAACATCCAGACAAGGAAAGCCAACATCAAGGTCAACCACCATAGCCGGCACTCAGAGAGTATTAGTCTGTGCCAGGCACAAGCCTCAGGGCTTTGCAGATGTTCATTCATTAAATCCTCACCACTGCCCATTTTAATATGGGGAAATGAGGCATGGAAAAACCAAGAGACTTGCCCCAGGTCACTGGGATCGGGACCCAGGCAGCCTGGATCCGGCCCTTGTGTAGAACACTATCCTCTATTGTTTTTCAAGAAACAGCCGCGTGCGTTGCCATAGTGACAGCTAACACATGCAGGGCCCTGGCTGCAGCCTTTGCACAATAGCCCTGTGAACTTGGGGCTGTTGTCATCACCCTAATTTTGCAGTTGGGGTAAACTGAGGCCCAGTGAAGTGGACTGACTTGTCCAAGCCCACATGTCAAATAAGTGGCAGGGTGGAGGCTTGCACGCCTGCCAGAAGCCCCTCCATGGCTCCCTACCGCCACTGGGCTAAAATCCCAACTCCTGGCAGGTTCCAAGTCTCCTAGTGGGCGGCCCCTCTCCATCCTCATCTCATGCTCACTCCCGGCGCTCTCCGGTCTCCAGCCCACAGGCTGCTGTCAGGCCCTCAGCCTTTGCTCACTGCCCCTTTTCCCACTCACATCCCGAGGCCAGTTTCAGGGTCCTGCACCATCACTGAGCTGAAGGTGAGCTGAGGCTCACACCTGTCCTGCCCTCTCTAAGTCTCTGTGTCCTAGTCTGGAAACTTGGGATGAGAATCGGAGGCGGCAATGATCCATGCAACACTTGGGTTTCAACCAACTTTGTTACCATTGGCTTTGGCATCTCACACTTCAGGTTTTAACTTTCCTGAGCGAGGCCTTTCGGCCCCCAGGCTCTATGCTTCCCCTACCCCACAGCCACCCTGTCACCCTCAGGAAAACTCCTCACGCTCCCCATCCATCATTTATTCCTGGTGAATTTCAGGAGGGCAGAGGCATTTTTTTTTACTGCCCCCGGACAGTGTCAGGTGCACAGTAGATACTGAGGAATCTCTGCTGAGTGAGTAGCAGGAGGACCAATCACTGAGACGAACTAACTTGTCCCACGCCTCCAGCTGGGAGGTAGCTGGGCCATGATTCAGACCAGGCTCTGGCCAACGCCAGTACCCTGCCCTTCCATTGTACTTGGGGTTTTCAAAAACACTGGGAAATTCCGAAACAAACAAACAAAAACAACCCAGAAACGATATTCCCCACCTCATTTTTCTGGGATTTTCACATCTCTAAATATACCAGATGAGTTGGTAAGCAAACCAGGTGACCCAGAACATACTTTGCATTGCTTAAAATAATACAAATAAGAATAAAGAGTTTCAAAGTGAGAAACAGTGGCACAGGATGTAGCTTTAAAAATACTTGGAGGGGGCATTTGATATTCCTTCCTCCCTCCCTCTCCCCTCCCTCCAAATACATCCATAAAGTGATAGTTCTTTCCTAAAACCTCATACTTTCTGGAAATCACATTTCTGGAGCCCTTAGAAGTCATTTAAAAATAAGAATTCATTCCCACCCTCCCTTAGTGTTTCAAACCCCAAGTCTTGGTCTGGGAACTTAGGAGATGGTGGGTACCACCCAGCAGAGATGCCCAGCATCCCCTGTCTTGACCCGGGAGCAGGAGGCCATGACTAAGGCAAGCCAGCCAGAAAGCTGCTAGTCTGGGCTGAGGGTGAGTATATTTGGGCTGGGGGGCAGGTAAGGGTCAGTGTGAGACCCATGGAAGGAGCAGGAGTATACAGGTCAGCAGGCCTGTGTTCAAATCCTGGCTTTGCCTGTTCTTAGCTGTATCCCCCCAGGCAAATATAGCCTCTCCAAGGCTCAGTTTCCCCAACTGCAAGATGAGCTTAGAAATGGTCTCTACCTCCCATGATGGTTGTGGGACTTCAGATAGCATGGGGTCAACCCACTGACACCTCCAGGAAACATAATAGCCTGTGTTATTATTACTGTGTCATTATTTAACCTTAAGGAGGAAAGTCACTTGAGAGGCTGTCTAGGGCAATGTTAAAAGCCTGGGGTTTGAAGTCACTCAGGCCTGAATGCAAATCCTCTCTCTGCCCGTCTCTGTCTTCAGCAGGACAGGGTTCTCCCTGGAAGTCCTGCCTCCCTTTGTCCAGATCTGTGGAGATGTGGGCAGACCACTCAGCTGGAGTGTGGCCTCGCCAAGTTCTTCCTAAGAGGATGCAAAACTGAGTTTGCACCAGATTCACTTTCCTAGAATGTGCTCTCAGAACACCAGCCATGCAGGCGGCTCAGGAGAAAAGGGGTTCACAGTTGATCTTTCCCCAAGCCTACTCCTCCCCTGCTTCCCCATCTCAGCCAACAGCAGCGCCATCCTTCCAGTGGCTCAGGCTAAACACCTTGGAATTGCCCTCGACCCCTCTTTCCCTCACACCCACCTCCAGTCTCTTTGAGCTCCATCTACAGACTCTATCTAGAATCTAAACACTGCCTCCCCACTGCCCCTGCTCAGGCCCAGCCTCTATCCTCTCCCTCCTGGACCATCACACAGCCTCCTCCCTGGTCTCCCTGCTCCCATCCCCACCTTCTATAGTCTGTGCCCCACACACAGCCAGAGGGAGCCTGTGAACCCCTAAGTCAGATCAGGGCCCTCCTGGCTCAGAGCCCGCCCCTGGCTACACCTCACTCCTGGGAAAAGCCAAATCTAGTCTTTTCTCCCATCTCCCCCGACACCCCCCACACCCCCCTTCTTGGAATCTTTGCACTTGCAGTTCCCTTGGCCCAATTCTCTGTTCCTCACCTGTCTTCACGACTCTCTTCCTCACCTCCTTCAGATCTGTGCTTGCATACCACCTGCTCAGCGAAGCTTTCCCTGTGCACCCATTGGCAGTGCAACCTCTCCACCCCCAACGCCAGCACTCCCTTGTCTCTGCCAATCTTGATTTCTCTCCCTGGCCCCTTCTTTTGTGACACACCTTCTATTTTACTTCTCTGTCCCATTCGTTATTCATCTCATCTATTGGCCTTGGAGCTCCGCAGAGCTTGGGGTTTTGTCTGATTTGTTCATTGCCCAAAATAGAGCCTGGTACATACTGAGTCTCTGCTAAATGTAAACAAATACGCCAAAGGGCTGTGACTTGGCTTAGGGTCCTCTGGCTGTGTGTGAGAAGCAGCCTGTGAGGGGCTGAGGGTTGGCATCACTTGTCAACACAGTAAGCCCCGGGCATGATGGATTCTCCATAAACTCTCTCCAGACTGCCTGTGTATCTCCACCCTACTTCTTCTCTTTTTTTTAACCAGTGTCTGTCTCACCCACCCATAGACTTTGGCTTGGTGAGGGCACAGCCCAGGGCCTTCTTGGTCATCTTTACCTCCCCAGCATCACCCTACACAGGACTGGGCATGGAGGATGTGTCTAGTTAACACTTGCTGAATGAACAGATGAATGAATACTGCATCCTCTGCTAAGAGAATTATCATGCAATTTAGTGTGTATTCAAGGCTCTGACAAGTCCTGCAGTAAGGATAGATTTTTTTTTAAGCTTGTAGGAAATCTATTTAAATATTTTGGCAGTGTGATGTGTTAGTCAAGGGTCTTCAGGCTGCAGAAGACAAAAGGAAAAACTAAGAAACTGGCTAAACAAAAAGAGAAATGATTAACTCACTTAAGTTACAATTCTGGGGCTTCTTCAGGCCTGATCCATTAAGACTTTAAAAATGTTATCAGAAATCTCTTGGCCTTCTCTATGTAGGCTTATTTTTCCCCTCCTAGGGGCAAAGATGGGCCCCAGTAGATCCAGCTCGCATGCCATTCTCCTGGGAGCTTGGTTAAAACAGTTGCCCTCCTTCCAAATCTCTCAGCAAAGTTCCAGATTTCCCGGGCTGCCAGCTCAGGAATCCTGGTGGTGGGAAGAAGCCCCCGGGTTCCGGTGAGGCAGCCAGTCCCAGGATCCAGCTCGAGTCCTGGGCCCTTCCAGACGCAGTCAGGGATGTGGGGGACCCTGGGTGCGCCGATCTGGCCTTTGGCGCCTCAAGACTAGGCACTTGCGGGCGGAGAACAGGCCAGGAGGGCTCGGGCGGGGAGGCGACCCAGGCGGCCGTCCTGTCGCCCTGCAGTGCAGGTCGGCCCGTCCGATGCTCGGCTCACCGTGTTCGACGAGACGGAGGGCACGTGGCGCCTGCTGTGTTCCTCGCGCTCCAACGCCAGGGCGGCGGGGCTCAGC